GCTAGACTGCTATACAGGCCATTAGCTTGTTCAGGTCATGGCTCATGTACAGAGCCATGGTTTCTACTTATAGAGTAAAACACACCATGGGACACATTTAATTAACAGTGACTTATAAAGTCCAGAGATTTTCCTCAATGTACTCACATGCCAAAAAGTGGGCCTGTAGTCAATCTAACCAATTAGTCTTGTCAAAGGTTACGCAACATACATTTTCAACAACCAAACTAACACAAGCATTATGTAACTACACACTAATAATACCCCCTGATGTGGAAGGAGAGGAAGTTGATCAACTAAACAAAGCAATGCCTCAGCGCCTCCACAGCAGAGGACCCCATTCACAAAATAGTTTTTTTATTTACTAATGACTACAGGTCGGCACAATATGACTTACTGTAATCAATGCTCTGATTTCTCTATGATTTAACAAGGGTTTGATGTTGCCTGTTGCCACACAGGACTTGGATTTGCAGACATCTATTTAAAGGGGCTTAAATCTCTCTCCCATTCAAACACCGGCCGTTAATGAAGAATGACCAGTCCGGGGGAGCAAAGAACCAGTGAACCAATGAAGACATACTGCCCCATTCTACCCTCTCTGCTCTGGCAATAGAGTAATGAAGGGGTAAATAACAGACAAATGGCGTCTGGAGAACAAATGCCTAGCTTCCACCTTAACTTTTGTCAGACCTGCATTGTCATGTTGCAACCGTGTTCAGAAGACACACCAGATTAATGATTTTCAGTTTTCCCTCAAGGAGATGTCAACACCTGTCAGGCATCCGGACATTCATAACAAAGTGACACAAGTTAAAACTATGAAATTCATATAATAATGCATCATAATGATGCTTTTGGTATTGACCAGATGTGAAGACATGCTTACTGGCAGTTTATATGGGGCCCATATTGCAGGGTGCTTTCTTGAAGCGGTAACACCATTCTAAATTGACTGAATGTTTTTTTCTGAACATGAGAGGCAGAGAGAAATAAATATAAAATTCACAATTTTACTCCAACCTATGGTTTCCCAAACTCAGTCCTCGGCACCCCAAGGGGTGCACGTTTAGTTTTTTGCCCTAGCACTAAACAGCTGATTCAAATAATCAACTAATCATCAAGCTTTAATAATTTGAATCAGCTGTGTAGTGTTAGAAAAGAAAAAAATGCACCCCATGATTGCAATAAATGTGTATTTTTACGAGGTTAATTTCTAAGTAGGTTTTTAGCTCCCTGAATCACAAAGCCAGCTGTTGTAATTACAAGGGTTTACAGCAGCATAGGTTCATTACATGCTCTGGATGGACCCAAGTCACTATAAGTCATAAACCCTGGTATAGGACCGTAGCACCGTAAGATGTGGTTGACAGAGGGGACATCTCTTGGTCTGACTACAAATAACTTGAAAACGGTTTCTGTGGTGCCGTGGAAATGTGACCATAAGCAAAACCACCCGTGTGGTTTTGTAAACGCAATTAGACAGCCACTGGTTGAGGTCGGCCATCTTGATTCTGGTGGCCGACGAGTCATCTGCACTCAGTGGTAGTTGCTACAGACAGTTTCTACAACGCAATAGCAAATAAATGCTCCCGTTATTAAAACTGCCCTGCAATTAGAAGGATTAATCAATATCCTGTGAAAAGGATATAATTAGAGAACGCAAAATTGAAGGGGCTATCTTCATACATTTTTACCTGTCTCACAAAAGAGTGGATACTAATGTATAGATGCTATCTGGTTATGCTAATCTGGTAAATATTTTGACAATAAATGACAATAAACATGTTGTGGTTATTAGAATGCCATAACTAAATCAAAACACATATGGAACAAGGATGGGACCAACAATTCTAGAGCAGTCCTGAGGACCTCACTAAGGACCTCACCCATTAGCCTATGCATGGCTCGAGTGGCATGGCTATGTACGACTGACTACAATGCCTGGCAGGCATCAGAAAGTGCAAACACACCCCACAAATGTCCTCACCACAGATACGCACATACGCCCACATGCACTTCCATGCTCTGTCGCTCTCTCTGTCTCTCCCATACATTTCTGCTCCTAGGCTGTGCAAAATACTGTCCTCTGTGCCAGCTTTCACATGCACTCTGCGTCCAGGGGACAGGTGTCCTTTTGTCCTTAGGCTAGCACGGCGCACTGCTACTCTCTGTGCCCTGTTAGAGATACTGCAAATATTGAAAATTGGTGCATAGGGTCAGGTCCCCATTTTATTTCCTCTTGTGGCTACAGTCACTACTGTTGTATCATGTTGTATCAATGCATGTAACCTTACATTTAGCACGATTGTGATAAACAGTTGTGAGTAATGACTTCCCCAACACACACACAGACACACACACAACAATAGCACATGCCATACACTACCTGATCAAACAAAGTGGCACAAACAGAACCCAGCTCAGCAGCTTTATTGTGCCTCTGGCTGGATCGTCATTTTAATGAGGTGGGAGTGCTGTACTTCAAAGAGCCCTGAGACTGAACTAAACACTGTTATTTGCCTGTGGGTGAAACAATGACTGCAAACTAATCAAAGGGGGAGGGATGTTTGTCTTTCCCTGACCGGGCTATACCCTCTCCTGACAGGGCAACCAGATCCATGAGGTATTCATTCCTACAGTGTAAGAAAGAATCAACCTAAAAAAAACTGTCGCATGTGAGAAAATGCTCACTCTCGGCCAGTGCCCATGATGCCGTTGGAGTCAAGTAAATTGGGGTTGATGCTGGCGAAAGACTGGACAACAGTCTCAAAGTCCATTTTCAGTGTGGTTGAGAATAATGTTCCTCTTCCATCTTTACCTGCCCTGACCCTTGACACAGAAAGTCCTAAGATAGCTTGTTCCCTTATCTCCAATGAAAGGGAGAGGCCGATTAAAGTGGGCTTCAACATTGCGGGAGTGCCAACCTTTGATTTATTTGACCAGAGCAGGCATGAAAGAAAAAGGGAAAGTCCTGTAAAGCAACTAGAATGGACTTGAGAACTTAATCAAACGCTATAGCAATTACCCTACACCCAGACTAGTGTAGTAGTGGGATATTAGGACCCAGCAGCTTCAAGGTTAATACCAGAACAGATACACTACGTGACCTAAGGTTGGTGGACACCTGCTCGTCGAACATCTCATTCCAAAATCATGGGCATTAATATAGAGTTGGTCCCCCCTTTGCTGCTATAACAGGCTCCACTCTTCTGGGAAGGCTTTCCACTAAACTTTGGAACATTGCTGCAGGGACTTTCTTCCATTCAGTTACAAGAGCATTAGTGAGGTCGGGCACTGATGTTGAACGATTAGGCCTGGCTCGCAGTCGCCGTTCCAATTCTTCCCAAAGGTGTTCAATGGGGTTGAGGTCAGTGCTCTGTGCAGGCCAGTCAAGTTTATCCACACCGATCTTGACAAACCATTTCTGTATGGACCTCGCTTTGTGCATGGGGGCATTGTCATACTGAAACAGAAAATGGCCTTCCCCAAACTGTTGTCACAAAGTTGGAAGCACATAATCGTCTAGAATGTCATTGTTTGCTGTAGCGTTAAGATTTCCCTTCACTGGAACTAAGGGGCCTAGCCCGAACCATGAAAAACAGCCCCATACCATTATTCCTCCTCCACCAAACTGTACAGTTGGCACTATGCATTGGGGCAGGTAGTGTTCTCCTGGCATCCGCCAAACCCAGATTCGTCCGTCAGACTGCCAGATAGTGAAGCGTGATTCGTCACTCCAGAGAATGCGTTTCCACTGCTCCAGAGTTCAATGGCAGTGAGCTTTACACCACTCCAGCCAAAGCTTGGAATTGCAGTTCGTGGCTGAGCCGTTGTTGCTCCTAGACGTTTCCACTTCACAATAACAGCACTTACAGTTGACCGGGGCAGCTCTAGCAGGGCAGAAATTTGACGAACTGACTTGTTGAAAAGGTGGCATCCTATGACAGTGCCATGTTGAAAGTCACTGAGCTCTTCAGTAAGGCCATTCTACTGCCAATATTTGTCTATGGAGATTGCATGGCTCTGTACTCAATTTTATACACCTGTCAGCAACATAATTTAAAGGGGTGTCCACACAGTTTTGTATACATAGTGTATAAGGAAGGGGTTCAGGTAGGCACAGGTAGGGCCTTATTGTTACAATAGTTACTTTAATGTGCAAAGAAACATGACAGTTGGAACACACCTGAGAAGGAGAGTACCATTGATCAGAGATGGGGGTTGCAGGTTGGTGTTGGAATTCTTCTTCATTTTAATCAAACATAGGCTAGGCATTGGCCAACAAAATCAGTAGGCAATTCGATTAATCATATAGGCCTACTTAAGTGAACTGAGTGCTTGATTTCCTACTCTTCGAAATTATACTGAAACTGACTACTCATGAGGAAGTGTCTATAACGTGCACTTCGGTGAGCAAGGGGTTACCATGTTCCCTTCGCATCTAGACAGTGCAGACCTAAAAATATCCTCAGCTAGTGCTGGATCAACCGGGGCAGCTACACCGACGTGAATCCCGCCCCGACATTTAGCCTAAATAAACTAATAGGAGGAGCTTGTAGACAACTCTACAGTGGCGCAAAAGGCCCACGATAACCACTTTAGAGCAGAGGCGAGTGAGTGGGTCGGGTTTCAGCTGTTCAGAGAGCGCTCTGGTGATCTTGCAGAGATAGAAGGCTAGATAGAGACTGTCGTCTGGGACACTGAAGGACCGCTTTGAAGATCTCGTCAAATGGCAAAGCTGAACCACAAGGCAAATGAATAGAGCTCTCTTTCAAATCGGACATGACTGATTGATTGATCCAAATCTACAGAATGCCACATATTACTTTGATATAGACACTCATCTGAAGATAGTAAGGTGGTTGGAGAAGAGGACAGCTGCAACTTGCCCAAGGCAACTCCCCTGTCAAAAGTTAGGTCGTAAGGATTAATATCCCTTACAATTCGCTTTTCACCTTTCTCCCGATGAATATTGGAATCTAATAAACACAACAAACATGGAAGAAGATCAAAACTGGGGAGTTGCTGGTAGAAGTGTAGGTAGGACTTGCAGTGAGCACCCTTGCAAAAAACGCTTTTGGAGGAATTGGAAAGATTTGTCTGGTATAACTGTCTGCATCGCATTCTCTGTATTGTCTCTTGGATTTTGCATTCTCGTTTACCTGAGAACCTCGGAACTTCAGTCCAGGATCATAAACCTGGAAAAACAGAGAGAGACGCAGCTCTCCGCGTGGATCTCACTCGAGCAGGTGGAACCAGTTATCTTTGGGCGAATAGATCAGATTCTGGAAGAGGTAAGGGTTATGGCCAAATTATTCCATATGAAACATGTATTTATCCACATTCTTACTTTTGTAGGCTTACTTACTGTAGCATTGTGCAAATGAATAGGCTATAGGTTATGAAAAATGTTTTTACACACCTGTGTGGAAACATATTTTAAATTACTATTTAATCATTCCGTTGGTCACGCTACTGAAAATATTGATTAGCCTACTTTCAAAAAATCATATTCTGTATTTTGTTTACATGTCTTATTTTAAAGCGCATGGATAGGATGTGTAGCCTACCACGCATAATATCGATGTCTCTCACTCATTCCACAAGTGTTTGATGCAGTGGCAGTTCCGATTGGTATTAGACCAGCTGCTCATGTTAATATGCACGAGAATATAATGTCCAAAGTTAAAATAAGTTTGTTTATAATACTTTTCAACAATAAATATATTAATTTGCGGATACATATATTTGATTTAATCACGTGTAGTCTCATTGGCTACCTGTAGATTCCGATGGATAAACACATGAATGGAAAAGCGCGTCACATCCATAACACGCTGGCTTTAGTTCAAAGTCTAGTTTTATCCCTAAATTGAAAGCGAATGGGAGGAGAATTTGCGCCGGTCTTTGGGGCATCATCATGGTTTAGATAACAGGACTGTGAATGACCCTGGGATCACGTCTGTTGTTTTAAAATCTGCTTTTCAACGCACCCTTGCTCTTTAATTGACCACTTCCACAGCTATACCAACAACCTCTTATCTTGTGATTGAAGTCCGCAGTGCCCCCGTTTTCCCTTCCCTTGTTTACTTTAGCCTACCTTTATGTTCCCCTCCACTTTCACTCGGGACATCATTGTAAATGCACTTTTTGTAGAGACAGCAGTGCACCTCAAAGGGGTGCAGAATAACTTTTTTTTCTCACTGCAATCATGGTAACCACATTCTATTTTTAGGATACACATTTATGTGTTCCAATAGAAAATTAACAACACAGATTGAAATCCAAGATGAACAAGAGAAAAACCTCTCCCAGTGCATTAGAAAAGATTGCCTACAGTGAAAGTGAATATCAGCTTTTGGAAGTTGCAGACTTGACATTGTGCATGTCACAAATACCCAAGGATCCTATAGGTTTGATACTTATCCTTATTGCAGTTAGTGAATATCTGCTATTTAGCATGGAGCTAGTGGGGCCCTATAAACATAATCTTCCTCCAGTCTTGCTGTTTAGATCTGTTTATATAAATGCCCGTTATTAATGTGATGGAACAGCAGATGTGACCACTTCTAGCCGACTGCCTTTGCGTGTTTCACACAACACATTCCAGAACCTCCAACAGTTTTTATTAATTTAGTGCAAGTTGAAATCCTCTCTGGAAAATGTAGCTGCACAAGCCTAAATTATTACCCACTATTCACCTTCTGATTTGAGGAAATATGCCGTACATTATTGGATAATGTTTGTGGTTCATGTTTTGGTACTCTAACCTTTGTTGCTCGAATGCATATTTCCTGCTCTGGATCTCGGTATTGTTCTGAAAAAGCACAGTAGCTGTACAGTAAAAATTACTTGTGAGGTTCTGTTTCTATGCAGTTTAAGCCACTCCTGTAGAAATAGATTATTTCTTCCACTGATTGAAACATTCCAAATCCAATGTCCCAAAATCAAGAGTCTTGAGAGACACTAATTCCAAAAATTATCTGACTCCCCCTGAACACATCATTATGTCACCCTAAAACTGGCCTGTTCAACGTTAAAGTTGACCACAAAGTGTTCTCCGTAGGCTTGACAGAGGCCTAGTGCACATTTCTCCCTCTTCAAGCTCGTGTGAGTTTCAGTCCATATTCAGAGGTGTAGAAAAGTGAGAAATATGGTCTCCCCTTGCCTGGTTTCCTCGCTCTGGTCCCTGCTGATCTGTCACCCCACAGTGTGTAAACTAGATGTGGTGTTGAGGTGCTCTGGGCAGCCAGACCATCGCTGAGCACTGAGCACACAGCCACCTGCCATTTCTCTGCATGTAATCTACTGTTTCAGTTCGATAGAGCAGAAAGCACCAGCGGCGTAGTGTTGATAAAAGCTCCATGTGCTAATAAGACAGGGTAATAAAAACAACACACTCTAGGAGAAGTGCCTCTGTGCTTTCTCCAAGTAAAGTTATATGATAGAGTCCAAGCCATATACTGTAGGGCTGAGGCCGAGACCAGAGCTCAACCTCTCACAGTGATTTAGCAGTAAGAGGGTTCAGGTCTCAGTGAAGGATCAGGGCTGAGACTTCTGTAGAACACAAGTGCATTTTGGAATCACTTTACAATTCTCTTCTTGTATATCAATATTTTGGAAACCAAGCCATTTCAAAACAACCACAGGCTCAAAGGAAAATGTTATATATTGTAGATGTGCACTCTTAGAACCAAAGGTGCTATCTAGAACCAAAAAGGGTTATTCAGCTGTCCCCATAGGAGAAACCTTTTAAAGAACCCCTTTTGGTTCCAGGTAAAACCCTTTTGGGTTCCATGTAGAACCCTTTCCACAGAGGGTTCAGCATGGAACCCAAAAGAGTTCTACCTGAAACCAGAAAGGGTTATCCTATGGGGAAAGCAGCAGAACCCTTTTGGAACCCTTTTTTCTAAGTGTGTATGGTAGATTTAGGGTCCCTCAGAAAGCAAAGAAGTTCCTTTATAGCTCATTTAACAATCTACACCTGTGGATTTTTGGCGTGTCCGTAGGGTGCGTGGGGAGCAGAATTTATAGAGGGCAAAAGAGTTTGGAGATGAATTTCTTAATGACACATGGAAACAACATGATTGGTTGTTGATTAGAACAAAAGGATCAATAATGTATTTTATGTCCTGGCGTTAAATTATTTAAGACCATGTGACTGATGATACCAATGTGTTAATGGCACGTCTGTTAGAGAAATCAGCGAGAGTCAAGTGGGGTATAGGTTTCACAGCAGAGCTATGGAGAATCCCTCAGTGCAGTAACAGAGATGTAGCCACAGGACAGGACAGGGGAACAGCGCTCACTATAGTACCTCCATAGCAGGGCCCCTGGGCAGCAAAGTCGGAGGGTCTTAGTATTAATCTGACTTTAGGATTGTAAAATGTTTTGTCATCCTTTTAAAATAGAATGTTAAAACCAGATCAAAAACTCTGGCATCGGGTTACCATTAAAGTGGGGAGGCAGAGAGGCGGAGAATGTACCTTCCTCTTTACCCTCCCTGTCTCTCTCCCATAAACCCGAAAGGAGCGAGAACCTCAGCTGCCATGTATGCACCATAACTCCTCACCATCCATCTATCCACATCATGATACCTGTTATCACTCTCAAGTCAGTCAGCTAGTAAAGGAACCACCCTATTAATTCTTAATCTAAATAAAGTTATAATCTAAATAAAGATATGCCTGCAAATTGAGTTAATATTTGTCGTTTGAAGTCCTGTAATTACATATTTTGCTCCTCCCAGCAGACTTCTCTATTCATTGAGATTTAAAGTGCCTGTGGTTGTCAACTGTGACCCTTGATGTGGTTTCGGAAGCTTTTAGTGTCACGTGACAGCTGAGATTCAAGAGCATCAGCACTATGTATTGTCTTTGTTTCTAGCCATTATCCAGGTGGGAGAATTCTTTAAAAATGTCGGTATTTCGTTTATTTAACTTGGCATTTCAGAGATCAGTAGAGAAAATGCCTCGAGAGCGTGTAGCTCTCATTGTGGCTGGTATTTTTTAAATAGATCTCCAGCTGAGTCTGAGAGAAAGGCTTGCCAGTATCAACCAAATACATTCCTGGAACCATTCATGAATAATATAAAGTAGGTTTAGAGAAATATGTCAAAAGAGACTGATTTCGTTTGAGATTGATTTCGCATGAGAGTTTTAATATTGAATGACGGAGTGCTTTACTTCCAATCCTATGCTATCTAGAGCCCGCCAGCCACATGTCACCCGCCAGCTGGAGCATGTCTGGCCGGTTTGACATGACCATAATGGCGTATTCCCTTGCAGACCTGAGTCAGTGATATGTACAGAAGAGCTATAACATATTCATACATTTTAAGTTGATACCAATAATGGATTCCCTTTTCCATGACCAGTTTGCTCCATTCCAGGGTCTGTAGTGCAGTATCTTGGTTAGAGGCCGGATAGGAACATTGAGTTAACATACACAGTACATTTACTGTACCCGATGCTTAGAATTACAGAACACTCATAACTATAACATGTCAACTCAAGCACCTGTTGGAGGCCTCTAAACGGCACACTGGCATGCCTCTGATGGTAAGTACTATGAATGGCCCTGACTGCTATGCAGTGGGACAGTACTGGAAGCGACCGGGAGACCCATGGGGCGGCGCAGAATTGGCCCAGCGTCGTCCAGGGTAGGGGAGGGAATGGCCGGCAGGGATGTAGCTCAGTTGGTAGAGCATGGCGTTTGCAACGCCAGGGTTGTGGGTTCAATTCCCACAGGGGGCCAGTATGAAAAAATAAAAATAAAATAATGTATGCACTCACTAACTGTATGTCGCTCTGGATAAGAGCGTCTGCTAAATGACTAAAATGTAAATGTAAGTTCTGTGTTAGTTCAGGGTTGAAAAGCAAACAATATTGTCAAACTTTGATACCTTGGTTAAAGATGAGAGGGGTCTTTGTCATTAGATAATTAGGTTGATGTGCTTTTGAACTCTGAATTCATCACCATCCACAGACTAACATTCTCTTCCGTTTTTTTTTCTCACGTGCAGAAATTGGCGGCTCGACTTCCCAAAACACGAGAGGCCAGAGAAGCGCCCCATAGCTGTGTCTGTCCACCAGGTATGCCTCTGTCCCGCCCACCTCTCATCTCTGACCCCTCACCCTTGACTGATTCTAGCACACCTCTGCAGCTGTGCTCAGGCTTAATCAAGGGTTTTATCCACCGCGACTAATATGTGCTGTTCAAATCCTGCTTTGGTTTCACCCATCTGGGCGAGCTCAGTTTGCCCTGCTTAAATGGGTCACTACCCTGAGTATGTAAGCATGGGAGGGGTGTTTACATTTGGCAAACCGCTGCTGTAGGGTGGAGGGTTGAGTAGGGATAGTGAGATCTGGGTGGCCTGGTGCCAGTCTGTTTCTGCTCTCTTGCCAACTTCTTATGGAATTGTCGACAATGACAATGGAGTAGACAAAGCACAAACAGATCTGGGATCAGGCTACCATACAAGGATCTTTAAATGTCTCTAAAAGCATAATTTTTTTGTATAATGGTGTTGCTATAGCAACATTTAATTCAATGTTTTCTTTATTAGTGTGATATAATTGATTGCGGTCATTCACTGTACTTAGGTTGTCAATGGGAACAGTGTCTAACACTCATGCCATAAGCGGAAGATGAGAGAATGAGGTGCCTAATAGCACTCTGTGCATGTAATGACACTTTTATGATTCACTGCTGATTGATATTGGGTACTGATAACTTGTGTGCATGTTTATGCATGCTTCTGTTGTTGTAAGTGTGTAACTGACAGCCATTAGAGATACAAAGCAAACCATGCAAACACTAAAAACGTCACCGCAAGGTTGGAGGGTGAAAAGACAAACAAGATCAAAGCAAGTAAGGGAAGATTTTATTGATGCAGTAGCTATGGCACTAACGCACAATGCAGGATTCCTTGTCTGAGTTTTAGGAGGGGCAACAGATGCAAGGATCCAACAGGTTTTACTGGGATTTACTATGTGTACACTTGAGACAGTATATGCCAAATCTTGCCCTCCCTTTGCACATGTGCCCTCAGGCTAGCTTCATTATGACGACAGGTGTAGGTGTATTTTGGGCACAGTTGGCAGTGGTTGGTGGTGTGGGCATTTTGTGTCACATTGGGTCATGATGCAAGCTGGTGTGACGTGGTGCCATCATCAGGGCATTCCTAGGCCGGCATTACAGGGCACGGCAGCCCACTGATAACTAGCCAAATCCGCTACACAACTGACCCTGCATTTATAGTATGGGTGGACTGAACGGAACAGCAATGACTGCCAAGAAAAAACATTCATATATCTTCCATTGGAAAACGTATGCCACAGAGCTGTGCACCTATTTTTTTATTTTTGTATTTCACCTTTATTTAACCAGGTAAGCCAGTTGAGAACAAGTTCTCATTTACAACTGCGACCTGGCCAAGATAAAGCAATGCAGTGTGATAAAAACAACACAGAGTTACATATGGGGTAAAAAAAACATAAAGTCAAAAAATATAACAGAAAATATATATACAGTGTGTGCAAATGTAGCAAGTTATGGAGGTAAGGCAATAAATAGGCTATATTGCAAAATAATTACAATTAGTATTAACACTGGAATGATAGATGTGCAAGAGATTATGTGCAAATAGAGATACTGGGGTGCAAAAGAGCAAAATAAATAACAATATAGGGATGAGGTAGTTGGGTGGGCTAATTTCAGATGGGCTGTGTACAGGTGCAGTGATCGGTAAGGTGCTCTGACAACTGATGCTTAAAGTTAGTGAGGGAGATAAGTGTCTCCAGCTTCAGAGATTTTTGCAATTCATTTCAGTCATTGGCAGCAGAGATCTGGAAGGAATGGCGGCCAAAGGAGGTGTTGGCTTTGGGGATGACCAGTGAGATATACCTGCTGGAGCGCAGACTACGGGTGGGTGCTGCTATGGTGACCAATGAGCTAAGATAAGGCGGGGATTTGCCTAGCAGTGATTTATAGATGGCCTGGAGCCAGTGGGTTTGACGACGAACATGTAGTGAGGACCAGCCAACAAGAGCGTACAGGTCACAGTGGTGGGTAGTGTATGGGGCTTTGGAGACAAAACGGATGGCACTGTGATAGACTACATCCAATTTGCTGAGTAGAGTGTTGGAGGCTATTTTGTAAATGACATCGCCGAAGTCAAGGATCGGTAGGATAGTCAGTTTTACGAGGGCATGTTTGGCAGCATGAGTGAAGGAGGCTTTGTTGCGAAATAGGAAGCTGATTCTAGATTTAACTTTGGATTGGAGATTCTTAATGTGAGTCTGGAAGGAGAGTTTACAGTCTAACCAGACTCCTAGGTATTTGTAGTTGTCCACATACTCTAGGTCAGACCCGTCGAGAGTAGTGATTCTAGTCGGGTGGGCGGGTGCCAGCAGCGTTTTACTAGTTTTTAAGAGCAGTTGGAGGCTACTGAAGGAGTGTTGTATGGCATTGAAGCTCGTTTGGAGGTTTGTTAACACAGGGTCCAATGAAGGGCCAGATGTATACAAAATGGTGTCGTCTGCGTAGAGGTGGATCTGAGAGTCACCAGCAGCAAGAGCGACATCATTGATATACACAGAGAAAAGAGTCGGCCCAAGAATTGAACCCTGTGGCACCCCCATAGAGACTGCCATAGGTCCAGACAACAGGCCCTCCGATTTGACACATTGAACTCTATCTGAGAAGTAGTTGGTGAACCAGGCGAGGCAGTCATTTGAGAAACCAAGGCTATTTAGTCTGCCAATAAGAATGCGGTGGTTGACAGAGTCGAAAGCTGGTAGCAATGAATCCGGAGTTAAAGGTCCAGTGATTCAGTGATTCCGGCAGAAAAACTGTTATGTTCTGGGTTGATAACGCGCTGTGCAGACAGTGCAGACTGGCCGAATAATAGTCCAGGCTAGAGCTGGCTGGTTGGTGGTGCAGGCCACGGACAATGGTGTAAAACCGCTAACGGTAGCTAATAGCAAGTAGCTAGTTAGCTGGCTACTCCCGTCCGGTAGACCGAGAGGTAGATAGCCGGGATATGGGCCTGGCTCTAGGCTAGCTCGAGGCTAACTGGTGCTTGCATCGGGGGCAGTGGGGATTAGCCAAACAGCAACATCCATTCGGTTGCGGCTAGCTAGTTGCGATCCGGTGATTAATGTCCAGTGATTAAATTATTCCGGCAGAAAAATCCAATGTTCTGGGTGAAATACCGCTAACTGTGGCTAATAGCAAGTAGCTAGTTACCTATGGCATATATTAGATTAGTACCAAACATTCTGGAACATACTTTATCTTGGGCTGTCAGCAAACATGAAGCATTGTGTCTGACAAGGAAAACTTGTATTGGTAAAGGTTCTTCTGTCATTAAGCCCACCTGCTGTTTCTCTGCTCAAGCCCCCAGGTGTCAGTCATTAAGTAGTAAAGAGTGTGTGTGTGTGTGTGTGTGTGTGTGTGAATGAGTGGGCCTAAGCGGAACAGGCCTGTGAGAACCAGCGGAGGTGAGAGCTAATAATTAATGCTAATTGGTCTTGTCAATAGGATGTCAGGGTCTTAACTGACCGGTAAGTGTCTTCGGAGGTCCCGTGAAAACCAGTTAAGGTGGACGCGCTGTCAGAGCTTCTGAGAGGAACCCTTTCTTTTCAGGTGTGAGAGCCTTTTAACTGGATCCATCCCAGATGGCGTGTGTTTTATGGCCTGGGCAGACTGTTTGGCAGTTCCTGGTCACACATCTCAAAAACTGCTGCTAAATGTACATCCGTGGCCTTGTTTCCATTTTTATTTTGGAAGTTTTTCAAAAATGTCTCAAAATATATGTTTTCTAAATACTTTAGGCTAACCATTCCTGAATATACTTCATGTAAAACTTGTACTTTTGGTTTGCTGACCTAAGCTGTCAGGGTATGAAGACGACAGTTCTAAACAGTAGCATAGCCAGAAATTCTTTGGTGGGTGGGCCTGCAGAAATTTGGCTGCACCTCCAAATAATTCTGATAAAATAAAGCTAATTAAAGCTCAAATATAGGCGAGTTGACTGTGATAAAGGCACTGGATTATGAGCTGTCTTGTTTGATAAATGAACACATGAAGTAGGCAGTGGCATGGTGCATATAGCCATATAAGCACAGTGACATATGCCTCAATGCGGTCATATTCGTGCCTTATTGGGGGTTTGGCTTTCAGTTAGTTATTTTTGGCCACCCATCCCATGAGACTGAATGTCATTCCAGTTCATCTGAATTTTATACCAGTGCACTGCTTGCTATGAATTCTATCTGATGGTGTTTGCATGTTTAGGTAAAAATACTAATAATGTCCCATTTTGCACACTGAGAAGTAGAGAGCATAAAAAATAACTCAATCTGATTGGGTGGGCCTGGCTCCCCAGTGGGTGGTCCCAGGCCCACCCGTGCCTACACGGCTGGTTCCAAATGCCATCTCACCAAGCATGAAGAATGCCCTCTTTGCCTGAGGAACTCAAGTTCTCCTTGGAGCTGGATCCATACAGTTCTTCAATTGTTCTGTTATTGTACCCCAACATACACCTCTCTATAAATGGCCCCTTAAAGGTCAACTGCCCTTGAAAACAAACTTCTCCTTTTGAAAACGGCCTATGTGGAAACGGCCATTTACTACAAAGTGTAAATAGGATAATTTTGGTCATAAATTCAGTCTCGTCCAAAACTGAGTTTGGTAAGTGATTCTGTCATGACTTACTTGAGGGTTTGGTTTAGATTACAATTATGTAAACAATTCATGCTCCCTTTTGCCTATTAACACGTGGTGGCACTGTGTTTTCTGGGAAAAGACTGGGCAAGTTTGCTTTGCATGGCCTGGTGCCCCAGGCGGGTGGAGACCTCTGCTTAGGTGGACCAATGGAATGGTAGAAAATGAGCAAACCCCATCCACCGGGGGCACCGGGTCATGCAAAACGAACTCGCCCACTGGATTATCTTCCCCAGACAAGACATGTGGTTAGTACTTGCCCTTGCTTGGGAAATAGCTACTCTAGTGAAAATGGGCTTCCATAAAGTTAGTTGTTCAACAGTCTTGGGCAGATGGCCAGGATATGTATTACATCCGACTAGCTTCTACTTGGGCTGTCAACCGTCAAACCTGAGACTGGTGTGTTGTTGGTAAGTATCTACATTTTATTTATAGCTAGCTAGCTACTGTAAGATCCCTGCCAAATAATCAACAACA